GACCGCCTGCCCGAGCTCCGCCAGGTCGTGGACCAGCTCAACTCCGGCTTCTTCAGCCCCCGCCAACCCGACCTGTTCCGCGACATCGTCAACATGCTCATGAACCACGACAGGTCCCGCAGGGGGCGCTGTCGGGCCGCGCCTGTCGCGACAGGGGCGCTGTCGGGGCGGGGCCCTGTCGGGGGGGAGGCGGCGGGTCGGGCTCTCCTGGGTGGGGGGTCCCCGGGAGGACGCGGGTTCCGGGGATCCGGGGGAGCTGGAGGTGGGGGGTGGGCTCGGATGTCGGACCCCCCGCGACTGGGGGGGGGGTCTCGGACCCCTGGGCTCCCCCTGACCCCCCAAATCCCCCCCCCAGGTTCAAGGTGTTCGCGGATTACGAGGCGTACGTGAAGTGCCAAGAGAAAGTCAGTGCCCTCTACAAGGTGGGGACCCCCCCCAAAAGGGGCTCCCTCAAAAGGGACCCCCAAAGTGACACCCCCAAAGGGATCACCCCAAATATAGGGGGAGGTGATGGGGGTTTCAGGGGGTTCCCAAAATCCTGGAGGGGGGGATAGGGGTTTTGGGGAGTCCCTAAACCCTCGGGAGGGGATGGAGGGTACCCGAAACCCCATTGGGAGAAATGGGGGGGGCACTAAGGGGCTCGGGGGGTTCCCCAGGTGTCCGTGGGGTTTGTGAGGGGACAGCGGGTGCAGACGAGGGTGGGGGGGATCAAAGGGGTCCCCAAAACCCTGGAGGGGGTACAATGGGGTTCCCAAATCCCACGGGGACAGAAGGGGTGGGCGCAGGGTTCGGGGGTGTCTGGGAGGGGACTGCGAGCCGCAGGCGGGGCTGGGGGGGCTCCAGGGGGGTCCCGCGGGTGCTTTTGGGGTTCCCGCCCCCCTGACCCCCCCCGGCCGCTCCCCCAGAACCAGCGGGAATGGACCCGGATGGCGATCCGGAACATCGCGGCCTCGGGGAAGTTCTCGAGCGACCGGACGATCGCTCAGTACGCGCGGGAGATCTGGGGCTGCGAACCCTCCCGGAACCGCATCCCCGCCCCCGACGAGTAGGGGATCCCCCCGCCCGGGACCCCCCCGGGCCCCACCGCGTGTCTCGGCCTCCCTAAATCACCCCCCTCGCATTAACCGGGAGGGCTCAGGGGGATCCCCGACATTTGGGGCAGTTTGGGGCTCATTTGGTCGTTTTTAATTTATTAAGGGAGGGTCCCCCCTCCGCCTCCACCTCGGGAACTGGGGGGACCCCGCAGCATCACCGGGTGAACTGGGGGGGTCCCTCCCCTAAAAAATAAAGGAAATAAAGGAATTAATGG